TCCCACCCCACCTACTCTGAGTTTGTCTCCCAATGGCATATGTCATTAGTAGATCAGCTTGCTAATTAAATCGGGGTGGTGGTGACTGGATTAAATTCAGAGATTAATTTAGAGAGAACAGACATATTTATGACGTAGAGTCATCGTCCTCTCCAAGAATGTGCTTTGACTTTCCATTTGTTCAAATTACCTTTTGTGTTCCTCAGTGGTGTTCTAAAGTTTTCTTTATGTAAGTTTTATGTAGCTATAGTTAAATTTATACCTAGCTATTTTATCTTAAAAAAATTTTTTTTTGTAAGTGGGGTCTCTTCTGGGTATTTCTGACTGGTTGTTTGTATATGAGAAGGTTAATTATTTCTGTATATTAATTTTAAATGCAACCACCTTATTATATTCTCATTGCTTATAATAGTTTTTTAGTTGATTCTCAGGGTTTTCAGATATGCAGTTTTATCACTTTCGGATCATGACGTCTTGGCCTCTTTTCCAGTTTTTCAGCCTCAGATTTCTTTATTTTGATTAACAATCCAAAGTACAAGATATTTTAGAACACTAGAACTCTATATAATTCACAACAAGAAAGTCATTGAGTATACTTTGACAGCTGTGGTTACTACACTGTCTTATAGTTATAATTACATGTAGTAGTTATCTTTTTTTTTTTTTTTGGCCACACTGCTCAGCCTGTGGGATCTTAGTTCCTTGATCAGGGATCGAACCCGGGGCCACGGCAGTGAAAGCGCCTGGTCCTAATCACGGGACCGCCAGGGAGTTCTCTGTAGTTATAATCTTTCAAGTGGTGGTCTCCACTGTTTACTTAATGACCCTCTTTGAGGAGAGGACTGTTTTATTCCTTTTTATATTTCTAGCACTTAGCTTAGTGCCTCAATAAATGTTTGTTGAAAACTTTTTAAAAACCAATGATCTAATCCTAAGTAGGCTAAAATAACTGTCATTTGCAAAATCTGTTAATGTCAACCGGCATTAACGTCAACCAGCCCTATTTCTCTTAAATGTTTTGAGACCGTGGAATATAAAATAATGTTTTTAGGTCAGAACACCTTCCCATCTTAGCTTAGTTCTCTGTTTTGCCAACAAAGTGTCCGCTTCAGATGCCCACCAACCCCTCCATCACCAAACACTATCTGCCCAAGACTGAGTGAGCTGTGCTGGTCAGCCCCAGGGTCCTGGACAACATGGAAAGTTGAAAACTCCAGCCTCCGGGTAGGGGGCAGAAATAATGAGGGTACTTCTGGGTATTGCTTGATACAGCATTTTGCAGAGCAAAAAGAGAGACTGAACTCCTTCTGAACAGCTTCTATTTTTGTTTTCTGTCATTCCCAACCTTCTTTGAAAAAAAAAGGAATCAAAATAGGGCCTGGCCTACTTTGAGGTCTCTCCATTTCATTGGTGGTCTAAAACATTCTCAAATTAACACAAGTAGTAGCCGACTCAGCCAGAACTCGAGGCTACATCCACTGACTCCAAGTCCAGCACTCTTTCCAATAGATTGGGAATTTGCTTCTACTTGAATTTTACTCATCAGAAACCCTTTCACTAAGTTGGTGATGGAGGTGACAGTGTGCCTTCCAATTTATAAAAATGTCAGTATTCCCAAGAACAGTAATACACAAGAGGAAATTCAAACAACAGCAAACATAATCTCAGCCACAATTTGCCAAAAAGATACCAAGAACAAAGTAATACAATAATGAGGTACTATTTTACATTTATGAAACTAGCAGCAAATTCTATAGTGATCATTTCTAATGATGGGAAGATTATGCCAAAATCCTCCTTGAGACAGCAAGATAAATTGCTATCATTTTGGGGGAAAGCACTTTGGTACCAGATACCACGGGGCCTCGATAGGTGGTTCACACCCTTCCACTGGATCACTTGAGTACGCAGAATTTATATAAGGAGTTAAGTCATTTGAAGAAGATAGCCATCTTAAGGAAGATATTAACTTTATGTAAGATGTACTCTATAATAAAAATAAACCTAAATGCCCAACAATAGAAAGATGGTTTTAAAAAATTGTGCTACAGCAAATGAAGGAATGTTATATGAACATTAAAGTTGTAATTAGAACTACTATGTAATAATATGTGAAAAGAGTGCTTTATGACATAGTGTTAGGTTAGAAAATAAGAAATAAACACAAAAGTATATGTACACAAACAACCAAATATATATGTGTGTGTGTGTGTGTGTGTGTGTGTGTAGAGAGAGAGAGAGAGAGAGAGAGAAAGAAGAGATGGAAATTTTAATGCAAGAGGTTTTTTACGTCTTGATCCCTCAGGATCAGCACCTGAGGGGGAATGATGGCAGCAGGAGAGGGTGGAGGGGAAGTTGGACTGCAGTGGAATTCCAGGAGGAGCTCAGAAGCTGGCCTGGCCCTGGGAAGCAGCAGTAGCTTTGGGTGAGGCAGCTCTCTCCAGCCCAGTGGGCATCTTTCCTTGGGGGAAACTTCTAAGAGGAAGGTTAATGGGAAAAACTAGAGTCTCCACTGCTGCAGCTGGTCTCGAGACCCACGTAGTAGTCAGTTATCTCCATCTTCTACTATCCATGATGGAGTCTCCTCCCCGTCAGCTAGCACTTTTGCTGGTCTAGGTGGCTTTCCTAAGTGGGATGACCAGAACTCTTATGCCTTCAGGGCCTGAGCTCCTGATCACCTTGCCCTTCTCAGGCTAAGGCTGCTGCAAGGGAGCATCAAGTGGATCATCTAAGGTCAAATGTAGTCTCCCATGCCTCCATTATATAGCAACGTGCCTACCTCCGGACGATTAGGGTCCAAGTCCTACTCTGGAAGGGGCAATAATTCGTCTTGACTGGAATCAACAAATATTCCTTGGGGGAGGGATGGATTTGGAGTCTGGGGTGAGCAGATATAAGCTATTATATATAGAATGGATCAACAAGTAAACAAAAAAAATGGATAAACAACAGGGTCCTTCCAGAACAGGGTCCTGTTTCAGCAGGTGATTTCTTTCCCAGCCTGATGATTTCTTGACATGAGGAAGCTGAAGTGACTGGGCATCAAACAAAACTTGAATGGGGTTCGTGCGCTGCACCCTAGTGGAACATCCTCTTCCTGGGACCCAAGATCTGTAAACTCTCAGAGCCCAGAGTTTCAGGAACAGGAGAAAAAGTACTCCCCGTGGGTCTCTGGTAGTTTGGGGAGGCAGGGTCACTCCTCTCTACCCCTTGGTTCTCAGACCCGTGTATTCTAACTATTAGGGACACTGCACCATAGAATGGTGGTTGATCTAGGGAATGTACTCTAAGGTACCACCTCCCAGCTGGCCTCTCAGTTGCATCTCAACAAGCCATTCCATTGCTCTGTGTGGTGCAGTTCGGGATAGGGCCATGGATCCCATGGTCATGCATCCACTACCACACCTTGTTTGCTACAAAGTGTGTCCCTTATTCAAATGTGATCTTTTGCGGGATCTCCTCTTAGTAGATCAAACATTCTGTAAGCCCTTGGATAATAGTGCTGAGGCCTGTAAAAATTTAATAAACAGAAACCTCAGTGAAGTAGAGTTGGGAGACCAGAAGGGGGAGCTCTCACACCCTGCTATGATAGCAGAGCCCAACAGGAAGAAGACAAGACTCCTCTTCTTTCCTGACAAGGACTCAGCCAATGAAAAGCCTCAGACTCTTTGTTTACTACAGCCCTCCTTACTTCCTTTTTCCCCTCTATAAAAGGGGTCTCCTTCCCTTGCTGTGCTGGGACTTGCATGTGGCTTGCCATGTGGACCCCAAACTGCAGTTCTCTGCTGATCTGAATCAACACATCTGCTGGAGAAATATCTGGCAGTCTGTTTGTTTCAGGGCAACAGGCCCTATAAATAGGAAAGGCAAACTCAGAGCTGTAATATTTAGGTTTTTAAAAAAATTGTTTTAATTGAAGTATAGTTGTCTACAATGTTGTGTTAATTTCTGCTGTACAGCAAAGTGATTCAGTTATACATATGTATACATTCTTTTTTAATATTCTTTTCCATTATGGTTTATCACAGGATATTGAATATGGTTCCCTGTGCTGTACAGTAGGACCTTGTTGTTTACCCATTGTTTTTGTTTACTTGTTTATTATCCATTCTATATATAATAGCTTATATCTGCTAACCCCAGACGCCAAGTCCATCCCTCCCCGCAAGGAATATTTGTTGATTCCAGTCAAGACGAATTATTGCCCCTTCCAGAGTAGGAGTTTAGTGAAGTTGATTTGCCACTAAATGGCTGGTGGGTCTTCTCCAAGAGGTGGTACTATATCAGGGACATAGAGCTGGTCTTTACCCTGGCAGGTTAGAACTTTGGTAGCAGCTGCAGCTAGAGCAGGTTTGCTGAGTGGAGCTGGTGCTATTGAGCCTAAAACTGTGGCTACTTTGTTGTGCCAACAGATGAGGTTCACAAGAGGCTGGCTGATGTCAACTGGCTGAGTCATTCTGTCTACTTAATGCTTAGGCTCTTTTGTAGTTTAGTTAAGAGTTCTGGGTGTGAAAACTGACTCAGATATGGAAACTGTGAAGGATCATGAGTTTGTATTGGAGCAGCTGCCCTTAGCCTCTTGATCATTCATCCTTGATTATTGTGATTGGGAATATTGAACAATACTTTTGTTGGCTGCCCATCTGTCTTGCCCATAAGCATGCTCTGTTCTGTTAACCATCTCCACAGCTTTCTGTGGGTCAGGCCCTTCTTGCTGCCTCTCCAGCCTTGCCTCTCACTGCAACAACTGAACACACTTTGCTTCCAATGGTTAAAGCACTCCTGTGATCTCTAATATCTCATGCTATTATTATTCCCATCAAAGAGCCCAGTTCTATAATGCCATAGCTTACCATGAGCTCTGGACTGTAAAGGAGAGCCACCAGTACGTTTCTCAGTGAATCTGATATCCCTCTTACCAGATCCTGCCTTGATGCTTTGGTAAATGGAGGGTCCTCTTAGCCCTCACATGGTAAATAGTCATCTGGTTCAATTTCCAGCCTCGGGCTTCCCTGGTGGCACAGTGGTTAAGAATCCACCTGCCAATGCAGGGGTCACGGGTTCGAGTCCTGGTCCGGGAAGATCCCACATGCCACGGAGCAAGCAACTAAGCCCCTGCGCCGCAACTCCTGAGCCTGCGCTCTAGAGCCCACGAGCCACAACTACTGACGCCCGCGCGCCTAGAGCCCGTTCTCCGCAACAAGAGAAGCCACCGCAACGAGAAGCCCATGCACCACAAGGAAGAGTAACCCCCACTCACCGCAAATAGAGAAAGCCCGCACGCAGCAACGAAGACCCAACACAGCCTCAACTAATTAATTAATTAATTAAAAAAATTTTCCAGCCTCAACTAATAAATCCACACAAGCATACCCCCTCCTATGAGACATTTGGTTCCTTTTTCCACTGTCTGCAAGAGAAGTTTGGCATTTATTACTCATTGAGTGTGGGCATCATTTTCTCCAAGTGTCAAGGAGCCATCTTAGCAGTGTGTGCTGGGGTCCTGCCAGGTTCTAATAATACTATCACCTAGGGAGTTTTCTGGCGGTCCAGTGGTTAGCTTTCCATGCTTTCACTGCCGAGGGCCCGGGTTCAATCCCTGATTGGGGAACTAAGATCCTGCAAGCTGTGCGGAGTAGCCAAGAAAAAAAAAAAAAAGAATCCCATCGCCTAAAAGAATGCTCCCATATCAATTAACACTCTCATAGCCAACTTTATATTCTGCCTCCCCTTTACCCCACACTTGCTCTCTTATCTCTGCTGGTACATATCGACCATGTCCTGCCGCTCCTTCAAGGAACAGTCCCTTTTCTCCTCAGCAGACCCAGTATATCCCTGATGGCATTTGTTTTGAATAGAGGGTTATGTTATTGGCTATGATGGGTTATGATGGGTCTCGTGTCAGGAAGGGAAATGTGGCAGATCCTGATGGGGGCACATGTTGTCTTCCAGTGTAGAGACCTCCAGACCATTCTCAGGTGAGTACGAGCACAAGCCTCTGACAGGGAGAAGTGGGCTGTTTCTGGAGGCCAAGAGGCTTCAGGGAATATGCAAATTGAAGACTTTCATTGCATCCACCCAAACATCCACATCCCTTGAATCAGGGCCTCACTCTTGCCCAATGAGAGCTTGGATTTAGGTGTAGCAGCCTTGCCAAGGGGAATTCAATCTTTTCTGGAGCCTGCTACTTTTATGCTTAAATCCTGAGCCTGAGCTTCTGCTTCATCTGCCCTCCAGCTATATGAGATGCCAGTCCCACCGCACTCTGCCAAGGAGGCCCTCTGGCTTTTATCTTGGCCTTTAATTGCTCATTCACTACCCTCGGCCTTTCCTTGTCTTTCTCCAGAATATCTTTTGCCCCCAGCAACAGCTATCCGGTACCATTATCCTTATAATTACTAACTTGCTCACGCTTCTCAAATACTGGTTCCATTGCCCCAGCCGAAGCATGCCCTTCCAAAGGCATGTCCTCCCAGAAAGTGTCACCAATCTCACTGCTGCTGCGTGCCTGGCTTTACCCACGCTCTGCCACCCACCCACCACGGGATCCTTATTTCCAGCCATCTGGTGGGTGACCCAGCTTTAGCATCTGCTTTCTTGCATGCAATCCTGCCACCACAAGCTAGGTTTCCTGAGAGGCAGACTCTGTAGTGGAGATCAGCACGCAGGAGATTTATCTGGGGGGTGCTCTGGGAGCAACATCTGTAGGGGTGTGAAGAAGCAGGATTGAGCAGAGAAGGAAGCCTGTGAGTCTGTCACTGCAGAGGGCTCAGCAGATTCTGTGAGGGTCCTACAGAGCTGTCCTCAGACTGGGGACGTTGACCAGGCTTTGGATATGGGCTGTCCCTGGGAAGAAGACACAGATGTGGACGAAGCTGCTCACTTCAGCAGAGGGTGATCGGGGAGGAGGGGGGGCTTCGATGGGATCTGCCAGCCATCCATCCTCCGCCTCCAAGCAGCTGGAGGAAGAGGCGTGAAAGGAGGAGCTGGATTTGGGCAGCACACTACAGTGTCCACTACTACATTTTTTTAAGTTGTTATAATTGTCTTTTAGTAGTAAAAAAAAAAAAAAAAATCAAGTCATAAAAAAATGCTCAGGAGAAAAATGGTGACATCCTTTGAGTTATTTTGTCCACAGAGACTTCATGGTTTGTCCTGGGGAAGTTTCCCCACCTAAAGAATGGTCCAGACGTCCCATAAAATAAATAGAAACTTGGGAGAGGCTTGGTTAGTGAAACTGTGATAGGGAGTCAGTTAGCCTGGCATGACTCACCTGCCCCTAATCTACCCAACCCAGACCTGAAACAGGTGCATTGGGCGCGGACACCAGGCTGCTCCGTAGCTGGACAAACAGGCAAACCTGTGTGACCAGAAGAGACACATGCAGGCCAGAGAGCTTCTGCTTGGAGAAGGAGAAGTGGCACCCACAATAAAAAGAAGCATAACTCTGACACGCTAGACCTTGAAAAATTATTTATGTCTTCACTGAAGCCTGGTGAAAGTGTGCAAGGACGTTTTATCATACTTCCTTAAAAAATTATAGTTCCTAAAAATCCTGTTTCAACAGCACTGTCTACAAAAAAACTAATTCATAATCAATATAAGAAAGAAATAGAAATCTTTATTTGAGCCAACCTGAGGATTATAAGCCAGAGACAGTCTCTCAGAGAGCTCTGAGGACTGTTCCAAAGAGGTAAAGGGGGAGGCCAGTAGAGATGTGATTTTGGAGAAGGGGGTACGTGCAACCAAGCACGCATCTTGGTAGAGGTGACTGCTATTTGCGAGGAACAGGTACCTTAGTTAATGGTTTTAGTGCTCCTCTAAGTATGGGAAGATGCAAAACACTGGATTCATAAAATTTTCTCCTGAAAATATCTAACTACCTGAAGGCCGGTTCTGTCAGTTTTCCCACAGCACAAAATGCTTGGTCCTGATCTTCGCCCTGAATTCCTTTCAGGGTGTTCTGCATAGGTCAGCGACTGCAGTGGCCAATGACTTGTTCCTTGTAGAAATGGACGGTGGGCAACATTCTTCGTCTTACACTCCCTTCCCTTTTAGTCTTAATTTTGACCAAGGTTTAGGAGGCATTTCGTGACCACTTTGTCTCACAGCTCTAGGAATGCTCATTCCCGGGTCAGGCGAGGATTTGGTTGATAAGCCACTCAATGTGCTATTACTGGACTAGGCCCTGTTACCAGTGGCCAAAAGCCTCTGGATCACCTGTCTTACATTCCGTTATGGTCCAGGAAATGGTTCCCTCTTGTCGTTTCTTCCCATACCTAGAGTTACACTGACAATCATTGATCTTATGAACTATATATTTGGTCAGTCATTTCAAGTCACCCAATCATCATTAATTTTATCGGAGGCTCAGTCAGACATTTGGTAATGCAAGAAACAATAATCTTGTACAATAAGCAGAATACAAGCAATATAGCTAATAGCATTAATAATGTCATAAGTAAGTATTTAAACAAAGAACTTCCATTAGTTGTAGCCCAGTATCTCCCCAGGTCGTCTGACCTGTCTGTTTTGCATCCATCCCTGTCTTTAAGGGAAATGATACATTGTTGTTGTATGTAAAGTTCACTAAAGATGTCTGTAGGTGGGAGGTGAGTGGTGGGTCATGGTGACCCCTTAAGGATTGAGGAATGTTAACATTCCTCAAAGGAATGTTATCTTCTGAGGAGTTAGGTGGCTGGTGTCAGAAGAAACTGGTATTTATGTTTAAGCAGGTATTTCTGCCATTGGGGAGTCTGGTTAATGCATAATGCAGATGCACAATGCACCTAGTAGAGGGGAGGGAGGAGGCCAAAGGGCAAATAACATTTTTTATGTTTAAAATTTTCTCATCTTGCCTTAAAATGTGAATTTTTACTTCATCAGCTCATTCCTAGGTTTCGTTCATCCAAGGCGTTGCTTTACAGACCTCTCTCCTATTGCTGGCAAACTCCGAAGACCCTTTCCTCTACCTGTGGACTTAGTGTTTTCTTTCACAAGTATATATGCAAATCAATTTTATGTATGCAAGTCAGTTTAGCCTTTCTCTGCACTTCTCCCTTCTCCTGTCCTCATTACCCTCAACAGCATGCAAAGGGCAAACATAGACTCATTAACTTGGTTGGGGTTGGGGGAAACTGTAAACTTGGACCCTGTCACCCTTGAATTGGCAAATATGTTGTATTATTTAACTCTGTATTTTACATGAAACACTTCACCAGATGAGAAGAACCCAATAATAATTAAAATGTATGACTCACCTCTTCTTTGGAGCTGCCATCTCATATTCTTATGACCTCCTATCCCCTCCTCAGTCTCTTCACTGTCTATCAAAGTGTTTCTACTATGTTTTGTCTGGAATAGACCTGGCTGTTCCACTTGTCCTTTCAAAGAATGCTTGTCGACTTGCCTGATGAGAACATGTCAATGTGAGGTCCAGGCTTGCGCATATGCACACAAACACAATTTTTCATATAATTTCAATGAGTTCATGGACCCCTGAATAAGTCCCAATTAATAACCACTTAATTACTTTCTTTGTTGAACTCTCTCTCAGTTCATACAATTCTGACCCCCAAATTTTAGCTAAATACACTTGCCCACGACAAGATACAAAATCCATTTTATTTTGGATATTGGCAAATGAATAATCCTTATAAATTTCATAAATCATATATAAATTTTGTACCAGAGAAGCCAACATTTTTATTCCTTCCTTCTTTCCTCTGTTTGTTAGTCACTCATTTAACAAACAGTTGTTTGCTGAGTACTTACTATTTTGGAGTAATACATTCATATATAAAATTAATCTCCAACTTCAAGAATCAAAGCAGTTAATGGGAAGAAGTGATATATAAATAGACAACATTGATGAAAAAATTCATCAGTAGGGCTTCCGTGGTGGCGCAGTGGTTGAGAGTCCGCCTGCCGATGCAGGGGACACGGGTTCGTGCCCGGTCCGGGAAGATCCCACATGCCGCGGAGCGGCTGCGCCCGTGAGCCATGGCCGCTGAGCCTGCGCGTCCGGAGCCTGTTGCTACGCAA